TACTACCGGAAAATATGTATTTCATATCTAACTGCATGAGATTCTTTAAATCATTCTCAGTACTTTCATCCCATAGAGACTGGTATTTCTGCAGAGACTCTTGTGCTGCAGGTATTTTAGTTAAAAATGGTTATTATTTTCCTCAGAAATCAGAGCAGAACTTCTTTGTCATTACAGAGGGTGGAACCATATTCTCTTTCCATCTATTATTATTAAATGTTATGTTTCTTTTATTTTAAACTTCACATGATTTATATATTTGTTTTATAGTAAACATTCAAACAAAGATGCACTTAAGTCCTAAGCCATAAAGCTTGTCCTTTTCCCCGGAGTCGAGCTCCCTCCCTCACAAATGGGGAACCACTATTTTCAGTTCCGTTGCAAGAGTCAGTGCAAGAATCGTACAAAGGTATTTGTATGTCGTTAAGAGATTTTAGAGAAAGTTCTTCAGTGAATGTTTTATTGAGCTATTTTTTCCTGCATGCTTTGAAAATGTACATGTTTTCTTGTTAGGAACCAGGATAGCTTGTCCTTTTCCATCCTCCTTTGTGTGTTCTCTGAGTGAAGGCAGGTGGGTCTTTCCTTTTTCCATTGTTTTTTTAAGAAAGACTGCCTGTCTATGAACATACAGATTGTCTGAGGGCTTATGCGGATTAGACAGTTGACAGCTTCTACTAGCAGGGTTCATTTCCTGTTTTCTTAGCTCTGGCAAGATTTCTCTCCTACCCCCAGCCGCAAAGGTGCCCTCTCACACCAATGCCATGTGAGATTTCCCACTCATTTAAGCAAAATGTTGTACTGTGTTCTTCTAATATTTGGATGATGTGGGGAAAATGGTAACCCTTTTTAATTACATTTGTGAATTCCTTGGGAGTCTGAGTAGGTTTCATTAATTTGTGAACATGTATATATAAAATGATTTTAATATTTTACTCAATTTTTATGTATTTTAAGAGCTATTTTATATTTGGTAGTTTAATTCTTTCTTTATACACTGGAGTCTGTTTTCATGTTACACTTTTTTTTTTTTTAGTATAAAAAAGAAGTCTTTGTCCTGTCCCCTTTTTTCATTTGTTTGTTTCACCTTGCTTTGACAGGCTTTGCTTAGTTCGAGATTATAAAATTCTGTGTTTCCTTGAGATCTAATGTTATTGTTTAAAATTTTGTTTACTTCTGTATTTAATTTGGATTTTTGTGTATATCTTTTAAGTATTTTATTTGATTCATTTTAAATTTTCAGGTAATATATGTCATAAGTAGTTCATATTTAGTCTTGGTAAACTCTACCATGTTCTTTTCCTTTTCAAAATTGTGTTTGTTTTCCTTTGACAGAAGGCAGTCAGATTTTATTGAAATTCGACTATTTCTTTTATGTTTAATGGCTCTTAATATCTGTAGTTATGGAAGTCTTGATGTCACCACATCTTCTACTAAGAATTGGATATGTCAATCTTTGAGAATGTATTTTGTTTGTTTTACAGTTAAGTAGTACTAGGTATATTTACATTATTATGAGACAGATTTTTAGAATTTTTTATCTTGCAAAACTGAAACTCCGTGCGCATTAAGAATTAATTTTTCCTTTTAGACCACATCTAGTAGTGACCAACTCCCTTACCTACTGTTTATCTGAGGAAGATCTAATTTCTTCATCTCTTTTAAAGGAAAGTTTTCCCTGGTCTGGTATTTTTAGTTTCCAGTTGTTTTGTTTTGGCACTTGGAATATATCATCCCACTTCCTTGTAGGCTGCAAGGTTTCTGCTGAGAAATATCTTAGTAATATCCTAGGTGCTCCCTCTTGGACTTTGCTATTCTCTTGCTGTTTTTAAGATCCTTTCTTTTTCTCTGAATTTTAACAGTTTTATTATGATATTGTTTGTTGTAGGTCTCTGAGATTTATCCTAGTTGGATGTTAGGTTGGTGCAAAAGTAATTGTGGATTAAGCATTGTTGAAATTTACCCTTTGATAATGGTCTATATTCTTGAATAAATGTGGTTATAGTATATATGTCATTTTAATGTACATTTTTTGCTTTATGTTTGTTTGCTAATGATTTATTTTGCTGTTTATTTTATATTTATTATAGACTATGGAAATGACATTAGACAAAAAGCAAATTTGAGCAATTTTCTTACTCTAGTTCAAACTGGATCGTAAAGCAGCAGAGACAACTCACAACATCAACAACGCATTTGGCCCAGGAACTGTGAACGAACCTACAGTGCAGTGGTGCTTTAAGAAGTTTTGCAAAGGACATGAGAACCTTGAAGATAAGGAGCACAGTGGCTGGCCATCGGCAGTTGACAACGACCAGTTGAGAGCAGTCATCAAAGCTGATCCTTTTACAACTACACAAGAAGTTGCCAAAGAACTCAACTTCGACCTTTCTACAGCTGTCGGGCATTTGAAACAAATTGGAAAGGTGAAAAAGTTCGATAAGTGGGTGCCTCATGAGCTGACTGAAAATCAAAACATCGTCATTTACAAGTGTCATCTTCTCTTCTTGTGTGCAACAGCAACGAACCATTTCTGGATTGGATTGTGACATGCAACGAAAAGTGGATTTTATACGACAACGGGTGATGACCAGCTCGGTGGTTGGAGTGAAAAGAAGGTCCAAAGCACTTCCCAAAGCCATATAAAAGTCATGGTCGCTGTTTGGTGGTCTGCTGCCAGTCTGATCCACTACAGCTTTCTGAATCCTAGCAAAACTGTTACATCTGAGAAGTATGCTCAGCAAATCGATGAGATGCACTGAAAGCTGCAACGCCTGCAGCCGGCATTGGTCAATAGAAAGGGCCCAGTTCTTCTCCACGACAACGCCTGACTGCACATCACACAAGCAACGCTTCAAAAGTTGAACGAATTGGACTACGAAGTTTTGCCTCATCCACCGTATTCACCTGACCTCTTGCCAACTACCACTTCTTCGATCATCTGGACAACTTTTTGCACGAAAACACTTCCACAACCAGCAGGATGCAGAAAATGCTTTCAAAGAGTTCCTTGAATCCTGAAGCAGGGATTTTTATGCTACAGGAATACACAAACTTATGTCTCATTGGCAATAATCCGTTGATTGTAGTGGTTCCTATTTTGATTAATAAAGATGTGTTTCAGCCTAGTTACGATGATTTAAAATTCATGGTCAGAAACTGTAATTACTTTTGCACTAGCATAAATACCTTTAAGCTCTTGAATTTCTATGTTTATGTGTCTTGTGAAATTTGGGAGTTTTGAGCCATTATTTCTTCAAACAGGCTATGTGTCCTTTTCTCTCCGTCACCTTTTTCTGGGACTTTAACAATGTGTAAGATGTTACCCTTCATGGTATTTCATTAATCCCTTAGGATCTCTTCATTTTTCTTTATTCTATTTTTCTTCTGATTCTTCACTCTATCTTTCTTTTCTTTCTTTCTTTCTTTCTTTCCTTCCTTCCTTCCTTCCTTCCTTTCTTCCTTTCTTTTCTTCTTTCTTTCTTTTTTTTATTGCCCATCCCCTCTTCTGTCGTTGCCCTCTTCACTTCCCATTCTTTGCCTGGTTAGGTCTTATTTTGGACCCATCTGTTGAGTTTTTCATTTCAGTTATTATATTTTTATAGTTGAGAATATCTGTGTAGTTCTTCATAGTGTCTGTCTCTTTGTTGCTATTCTCATTTTGTTCATGCATTCCTTTAATGATTTCTTGATGTTGTCGATGTATGCTATCTTGTCAGTCATTGAGCATCATTATGACTCTTATTTTGAATTTTTGGTCTGGTTATTTATAAGTTTCTGTTTCTTTAATGTCAGTTTGTGGTGATTTAATTTGTCCCTTTGTATCAGCTGTGTTTTCTCTTCGTGTGTCTCGTTACCTTCTGTTACTAGTGCTGCGGTTCAAAAATCAGCCTCTTCTCACAGTTTTTGGTGTCTGGCTTCATTCAGGAAGGATGCTGTCCAGTCAGCGTGGCTCATGATTCTTGAGATTTCTCAAGCCTTTTCTGGGGATGTGTGCTCTGTACGCCTTTGCTTATAATCTGCTAACTGAAGTTAAGTAAGTGTGTGGATATGTGACGTGTGCATGGATGGTAAGCCCATGGTTTATATCAAAGAGACATCATCGTTTGAAATAAGTTTTATATTTTGTAATAATTGAAATTGTGTTAAATATTTTCCATGGGCTTAAATTTGTTCTAAACTATCGTGTTGAGTTAATAGTAATAAGAACAGTAACATATGTGCATGCCTGTGTATCTATACAATGACTTTTTATGATGTTCCATGTTCTTACTCTTGAATTTATTTCACATTTTCTCCATTAGCTAGACCCCTGCCAATATACTTTTGAAGCTGTATCTGTTACTAAATGATTGTGTCTTTATGTTCAAATCTGAATCCCAGTAACCTGGGTTCAAGTGTGGCTCTGCCATTTTTAGTTCTTTGATTTCCAGCCAGTTTCTTAGAGCATCTGTGATGGGAGTTATCTCCTAGTACAAACCTTTTTATCATGGGCTATCATCTTATTTTACAAGCTAGTACTTGTAAAGCATTTAGAATAGTGTTTTGTACATGGGAAATGTTTAAAAATGTTAGTTATTGCTATTGCTGTTATCATCACAGTTGTTAGATTCTGACTTTTCTTTCTTTAAAGCCACTGTGGATTTTGTCATCTCTGAAGACACCACTTGTATTCCAGCTCATCTAGATACTGAGTAGCACTTGGTGTGTTCAACATAATATCTAACACTTCTATGGATATAAACCTGTGTTTACTTTTTATTTGTTTATTTCCACAAAAACTGAGAAGTTCTCAGTGACTTAGGGGATATCATAATCTGTTATGGAAGAGTACAATACAGTGCATTTAGGGAGAGAAAACTTAATCAAAAGTACCTTAACCTGGATTTGTCAGAACACTGACTTCAGTCTAGTTCATACTTAATTTCACTCCTCTCCTCATTTTTGTGTGAAGATGATAACTCTCTCCATAATGCCTTGGTGAAATGTGTTTTCCATTTTAGGAACACTTGACATTCAGGGATGTGGCCATAGAATTCTCTCAGGAAGAGTGGAAATGCCTGGACCCTGCTCAGAGGGCTTTATACAGGGACGTGATGTTGGAGAACTACAGGAACCTGGTCTCCCTGGGTGAGGATACCTTCCCTCCAGAAGTTGGGATCTGCCCTTGTGTGTCTTTGCATTTGATGTTGTGTGCCTCTTGGAAGCCCCTGCATTACTTGGCTGACATTGAAGCCGTGTTCACTCAGGTATGGAAAGCTCCGTAATGCAGCATGTGGACTTTAAGCATCCCCCTCTTCAGATGTTCTGCTCCATTCATGATACAGCAGTGATGATTTCAGACCTGAAATATGCACAAAAACTTACAGAAAACTTTTAAAACACCTAATTCCCTATTCTTTACCCCTATGCTTCTGACTCAGTAGTTCTTGGAACAGAACAAGGTATCTCCAATTTTATAGTGCTCTTTAAACTTTCTGAATGAGGCACTCAGTGGATGAATTTGTGAAATAATTTCCTAGCTTCATTTGTAATGTCCTCTATTCTCACATGAACATAGGGCTGGGATTCTGGAAAAACCAGAGTGTATCATGTTCCTTTCATTTTATGAGCAGGATATTCTTTTCCTGGCCTGAATCTTATCTCCACGTTGGAAACAAGGGAAAAGCCCAGGTCTGTGGAGAGCCAAGTGAAAATAGCAAGGAAACTAAAGCAGTGGGAACGTATCAAAGGTGTGATCACAGGTAAGAGCTCAGATGGACATAGTGGAAGCTGCACCATTAAATAATGTTTTGGGAATCTCTCAGCAAGTTGACGGGATATGTGGGAAAACATAAGTTTATGTCCTGTGAGTTCTCAGAGGAAAATTTAAGCTTTCCCCACTTATCGCTCTGCTCTTCGGACATGTATAAATTTATCCTTTCACCCTCCATTGGTGCTGCAGCTCTACCAGAAACAAATGGAAATTTCTTACTGTGGCGGACAAGACTCTGTCCTGTAGCTTCAACAAGCTCTTTGATTCCTTCACTCTGAGGGGCGTGGGGAGGGCCATTTCACAAAGGGCTCCTTCTCCTTTGGGTCTCTCCTGTGCTTGATTCCATCTGATGCTCCATTCACTTTCCAAGTAGATCAGAGTGGAGGTCTCCATACCCTAAGTGCTGGAACTGTCTATGTTCCATCCCATTTCATGTGCTAAGAAGACCTGGTAAGGACGTGGGACACATTGGCTGCTCCTCCTTTGTGTCTGGGAAACTGGAAACTGCATGCAACTCTCTCAAGCCCTCTTGGCCTTTTGAATTCCTCAGCCATTTCTGCTGCTTTTGCCACAGTTCATGGATGTGTGGAACAGGAGAGTCATTGGATCTTCTCAGATTGTTATTCAGCAGAACCGTAAGAACAGTTGACAGCTTTCCTCTGTTTGATGCCTAGTCTTCCATAGGGAACATAGCTCGTTGTTCCAGGCTCTTAACTTAGGGTCTGCGAGTAGCACACACAGGACCCCACTAAGGTCCCTCAAAATCTGACCCCCATGTGTTGTATTTTCCTCTCTTTTTCACCTCTTTTCCTCTTTTTTTCACTCTTACTACTGTATGAATGTTGGTAATCTTTGGGCCTTGTCTGATTTTGTATTCTGTTCAGTTTGTGTGATTTTTGCCACTGATAATTGCATTAATATACACATTCCTAGGACATGTTGTCCTTTTTTCCCACTGTGATAACCCCAGTACAGGTTATGTTCCTGGGTACTCTCCTGTGGTATGGGTTTACATGAAAACAGAAAATTCATGAGGGTGAACACTTTGACTACTATGTTTGAATATTATCCTGCTACGTACAGAGATGCCCCTTGAAACCCTGAGCAGAACTGTTGGCATGTCCCAGGGCACTGAGATGGAAAGTATCAGGAGAGCCTGACTGATAAGCGTTTCTAGTTGTCATTCTGGTTTTTGAGGAGCTTCACAAAAGTGTCTCTGAAGTGCACTTTGACAGTGTTGATCACATGATCATCTCCTCTGAGCCAGCAATTAATGATGTAGAAGTTCCTCCTGAGGAGAACATTGTTCAAGCTCACAGCCTCATATGTATGAGGCTCTTGACTAAACTGTTGTTCATGCCATGTGTTTTATCTGCTGTATATATCATTATTCATTTTGTTTTTTAAATCTTTGTTTTGTTTTTTATTTTTTGATAATAAAATTTTAAAGCTGTTTATTTTACTTCTGCCTAGGCTGGAATGCAGTGGGCGATCATAGCTCACTCTAGCCTTGAACTCCTGGGCTCAAGCAATCCTCCCACCTCAGCCTCCTGAGTAGCTGGTTCTCCAGATGTACGCCACCAGGCTGGCTAATTTTTAAAAATTTTTTGTAGAGACAGGGTCTCACTCTGTTGCCCAGGCTGGTCTCAAACTCCTGGCCTCAAGTGATCTCCCTCCTCAGCCTCCCAAAGTACTGAGATTATAGGTATGAGACACCGTGCCTAGCCCTCTGCACAATTTTGGAAGTTCTAGAAATTATATTGTTAACATGTGAAGACTGTTGTGTCCCCTCTTTTTCTTTCCATCTTAATTTCATGTCAAGTTTACCTCGTCCCCATCAACCCACCACCAGGTGCTGTCCTATTGTTCTTGAGCTCTTCTTTGCTGCTTAGGTGGCTGATGATCTTTTCCATGGTCTTCATGTCACTGCCAGAGAATGTTTCTGCACTTTGCAGCCACTAAGAGTGCCTTTCAGTACAAGCCATTCCCCTTTGTTATTTATTTACTTACTTTTTCTATAAGGTGACTTATGTTCCCTGGTGATAATTATGAAGTCAAATTTACTAATTTTTTATAAGTGCATGTTAATCTTCATTCATTCATATCAACAACTATGTAACTACTAAATATACAGTAGTAGGACTCTTGACCTCATGTCTTGGTTTTTAAGTTTTGTCATATAACTTTTCTAATATTTTCCATCATATTAGCTTAGCAGAATTAAAATATACCATATTTATCTTATTGTTTGAATTTAGATTCAATTGATTTCCATAAATATTTGAACTCTGCCTTTCTCCCCTATTTCCCTCTTCACTCATCCCCTGGAAACTACCATTGTACTTTTTTTTCGTATGAATCTGACTATCTAACATACCTCTTAAGTAGAATCAGACAATATTTGCCTTTTTATGCCTGGCTTATCTCACTTAACATAATGTTCTCAATTTTATCAATATTGTGGTGTTTACCGGGAATTCCATGTTTTAAAAGGCTGAATAATATTCCATTGTGTATATATACCACGTTTTGGTTATCTGTCAACTCAGATGTCAATCTCAGTTGGTTTCACCACTTTACTATTGTGAATAGTGCTGCTGTAAGGATGAGTTTACAGATATCTCTTGAAGATTCCATTTTCCATTGTTTTGGTATGTGCTGTAAAGTTGAAGTTTTAGAACATACGCTCATTCAATTTTGAATTATGTGAGGAAATGTGATTCTTTTTTCTATATGCTCTTCACTATTTTCCATTCCCAACAACAGTGTACAAGGCTTTTCTATCTCTACATCTTCACCAACATCGTTTATTTTCTATTAATTTGGACAGCAAGTGTGTTAATCAGTTTGAGGTGATATCTCCTTGTGGTTTTTCTTTGTATTTTCCTAACGATTAGCTATGTTTTGCATCTTTTCACGTGCTTGTCGGTCATTTGTCTATCATTTCTGGAGAAATATGTATTCAGTTCCTTGGCTCGTTTTTTAATTGGGTTTTTGTTCTTGCAGTTGACTTCTGGGAGTTGTTTAGATGTTAACTCCTTATCAGATATGTGACATCACAGTTTCTTTTTAATCTTTAGTGTTTTCCATATATAAGATTACGTCCTCTGTGAACAGAGATCATTTTACCTGTCTGTTTCCACTGCATGCCATTTATTTCTTTGCACAGATGGGGGTCTCGCTGCAACTCCTGTGCCTGGGCCTTCCAAAGTACTGGGATTATATTAATAGGTGTGAACCACCATGTCTGGTGTCCTCTCTGATTTTTGATTTTAGATTTTTGGGTCTTCTCTCTCTCTCTCTCTCTCTCTCTCTTTTTTTAGTTAACCTACCTGAGCTTTTGTCAACTTTCTGGAGTTTGTCAAAGGATCAACTCTTAGTTTCATGAGTTTCTGTGGTGAGTTTTATTCTCTATTTTGTTTGTCTCTCCTCTGATCTTTATCATTTCCTTCTTTCTGCTATATTTTTGTTCAGTTTGTTTTTTCTCCTAATTCATTGAGGTATAAATTAGGTTGTTGACTTGAGACCTTTATTCTATTTTTATATAATCATTTATAGTTATGAATTTCCCTATTAGGAGTGTTTTTATTGCATTCTGTGAGTTTTGGTATGTTGCGTGTTCTTTTCCCTTTGTGTCAGATATTTTCTACTTTCCCTTGTGATTTCTTCTTTGATCCATTGGTTGATTAAGTGTGTTGTTTCATTTTCACATATGTTTGAAGTTTTGTTTTCCTTCTGCTCTTGATTTCTGATTCCACTATGGTAGGGAAAGACAGTTTGTATGATTTCGATCTTGTTAACTTTGTTAAAACTTGTATTATATCCTAACATGAGATCTATTCTGTGATTGTTCTCTGTTTACTTTAGAACAATTTGTATTCTGCTGTTTGAGTAGTTTGTTGTGTATAAGTCTGTTGGGTCCAGTTAGTCTCCAGTGATGTTTATGTCATCTGTTTCCTTATAGGTCTTATGTTTTTTTTCTATCTTTTTTGTTTGTTTGTTTAAGAGAATGGGCCTTGGTCTGCTTCCTAGGCTGGAGTGCAGTGGTATAATCATAGTTCCTTGTAGCCTGCAGCTCATGGGCTCAAGTGATCCTTCTGCTTCAGCCTCCCAAGTAGGTAGGACTACAGGCACGCACCATCACTCTTCGGTAATTTTTAAATTTATTTGTAGAGATGGGGTCATGCCATGTTGCCCAGGCTAATCTCCAACACTGTCCTCCAATGATCCTCCCACCTCAGCCTCCAAAAGTGCTGGAATTACAGATATGAGCCACCATGCCCAGCCTTCTGCTTTTATCATTTTACAATGTCCTTCTCTGTCTGGTATAATTTTGACTTAAAGTTTATTCTGCGTGCTATTGCCATAGGCATCTCGGCTTTCTTTTGATTACCATTTATATGGAATATCTTTTCCCATTCTTTCCATTTCAACCTGTGTGTATTCATACAGCAAAATTGAGTCTCTGGTGAATAGTACGTGGTTAGATCCTGTTTTCTTCTCCATTCATCCAATCCATGTCTTCTGATTGCAGAGTTAAACTACATTAAAAAGTAATTACTGATAGGGAAGGCCTTACTGATGCCATTTTGTTACATATTGTTTTTTGCATCTTGTGGATTTTTTATTTCATTTCTTTCTTAGTCCCTTTATTTGTATTTCCCTGATTTTTGTTATAGTGATAGACTTTGATGCTCATATTATTTCCGTTTTCTGTATCATGCAGATATATTGTTTGTGATTATCATTGCAGGTACATAAACTACCTTAAACTTATAACCCTCCATTTTAAACTGATAGAAACTTAACCTCAATCATATACAACAGCTACTTCTTTATGGCTCCAATCCCCCTTTATGTTATTGATGGCAGAAATTCCTTGTCTATGTGTTACATTTATATTAACATATATTTAAGGATTTTTTTTGTGGTTATGCTTTGCAAGGAAATAAAGTTGAGTTATTAATGAAAAGTATAATAATGCAGGTTTCTATATTTATCCACTTACATTTACTCGAGAATTTTATATTTTCCTATGGGTTGGAGTCACTTTCAGCATCTTTTAGTGCTAACATCAAGTACCCCGTTTAGGATTTCTTTTAGGGCAGTTCTAAAAGGCTGGTGATCCTCTTCAGATCTTTATCTGGAAATGTCTAAATTTCTCCCTTTGTAAAATATTTAATTATTTTCTCTTTTTTTTCAATTTTACATATATGGCAAAATATCATGTTTTGAAATATGTAGGCTTTATGGAATGGTGAAATTGAGGTGGTTGATAATACCTTATCTCACATATTTTTGATTATTTTATGGTTGGAATATTTAAAATCTGTTCTCATAAATGATTTTCAAGTATTCTATACATTGTTATTAACTATAGTCATCATGTGGTACAGTAGGCCTCCAAAGTTCTCTTTTACTTTGAAGAAAAGTGTTGCCAAATATAGTGCTCCTGGTTGATAATTTTTTACTTTCAGCACTTTGAACATGTCCCACTGCCTTTTAGATGCTAGGTTTCTGCTAAGAAATGCAGATGATCTTAAATAATTTTTTTGTTGTTGTTGTTATGACAAGTTCTTTTTCTATTGGTGCTCTTAAGATTCTCCGTTTTTCTTTCAGTTTTGATCGTTTGTTTATAACGTGTCTCTATGATGATGTTTATGGATTCATTCTAGTTGGAGTTGATTGAATTTCTTGATTTTGTAAATCCATTTGTTCAACAAATATGGAACATTTTGGTCGTTGTTTCTTCAAATAAGCATTGCGAACTTCTCTGCTCTCGTGGGACTGTTGTAATGTATATATTGTTCTGCTTCTCAGTAAACCAAAAGTCTGTTAGGCTTCGTATGATTGTCTTTATTTATTCATATTGCTACTTAGACTCAGTAATTCTCAATACCCTGTATTCAAGTTGGCTCATTCTTTATTTTGACTTATTTGCTCCACTTCTAAATTATTCTAGTCACATTGTAAATTCATTTATTCAGAGTTTCAGTTTGGTTCTTTTTTTTGTAGTTTGTTTCTTTATTGTTATTCACATTTTGTTCGTACTTTTTTTTTCCTGATTTTGTTTATTTGTCTATTTTTGTTCCCTGTTAGTTCCTTGGACATCTTTAAGGCAATTGTTTCAACTTTTTCTCCAAGTAATTTAGAGGATTTTGTTTCTTTAGGATCAGTTTCGGGAGTTTTATATTATTCATTTAATGTGACAATACTTTCCTATCTTTTTGTAGGACTTACATTCTTTTGTTGTGTTGTGGGCATTTGGAAAAACAGCCACTTCTCTCAGTATTTATGAATTAGCTTCATACAGGGGAGACCTTCACTAATCAGCCTGTTGTAAGGTTCTGGGACCTTCAGTCTTCCTCTGGGCTTCTGTCTTCCCTGGCCCTTTGTATGTGCTTTTGCTCCAGTATATGTGGCTGCTTATAAATTTTTTATTTTCCCCAAGGTACTTTTCTCTGCTCCTTCTCCAGAAGCCTTCAGTTTCTGTTGTATTTCTCTGCCCATAATCTTTCCCTGCCACCTCCTCTGTCCTGGCCATTCCTCACATGGCATCTTGGTCTGGATGGAATGTACTGTTCACTTCCTAGAATGTTGATTTTGAATTTCTGAACACCCCAATTTTCACATGACCCCTCACCCCTACACTGCTCTCACTGAGTAAGGCAAGGCCTTACTCGTCCACTGGACAGTTGTTGGGACACTGCCTAAATCAAGTGTGTGATACTATAACTCAGAACACTTCCATGAGGATGGGTTAGTAACACTATTAATAACACAGTTTAGCTCTTACATCTCTCTTGAAGTATTTCTTTTTATACTGCTTCCATCTGCTGTGACCGGTTGTTTTCTGTACAGCCTGGACAGAATATATTGTCTGCTTAAGAATATATTGTCTCACGCTACAAGACCAGGATGAAGTCTGGTTTCTCTCATTTACTTTATGTGCAAATTGAGGTTAAATATATGAACACTGTGGGGCCTCATGTGCTTATTTGAGAGTTAATGTTAATTTGCCTCGAGGTTTTAATTTTATTTATTTATTTTTGTTTGAAAATATCATAAAACAGCAAACATCTTTACAATAAGTTAGTGCTATTAGATGGCTTAAAATACTGCAAGTTTGGGGCCAGGTACAGTAGCTGAGGCTTGTAATTCCAGTAATTTGGGAGGCAGAGGGGTGAGGACTGCATGGGGTAAGGAGTTGAAGACCAGCCTGAGCAAAATAGTGGGATCCCATCTTCAAAAAATAGAAAAATTAGCCAGTTACGGTGGTGTATGCCTGTAGTCCGAGCTACTTAGGAGGCTGAGGCAGGAGGATTGCTTCAGCCCTGGAGTTAAAGGTTGCAGTGAGCCATGATGATGCCACTGCTCTCTAAACTTGGCAACAAGGTGAGACCCTGTCTCAAAAAAAAAAAAAAATTGCCACTTTTATAATAAAGTCTCTAAAGTTCCATTGTTTAATAAGATTAATCAGCCTTTGGTGACATGTATGATGACATGGTCCCTTTCTCGTTTTAGTCCAGTCATTTTTCCCATCAGAAATACCATAAGCTGGGAGTCGTAAAACACAGAAAGTTATTTCTCTCCGATCTGGAAGCTAGGAAGTCCAAGATCAAGGTGCCAGCTGAATTGATTCCTGGCAAGAGCCCTCTTCCTGGTTTAACCCAGTCATCTCCTTGCTGTGTCCCGATACGGTGGAAAGACCGAGAGGAAACAAACTTTCTCATGTCTCTTCTTATGAGAGCACTAGTCCTATTCATGAATAGTCTACCCGAATGACCTAATTATCTCTCAAGGGCCCCACCTGCAATAACATTCCACTGGAGCATAGGACCTCTGCAGCTGAATTTTGGCCGATACAAACATTCAGGCCATAGAGCCTGCATCATATTTTGAAATTTTTTTTATTATTTTTCAATTTGTGCCATATAGTGTTTTCTCTGGATGTCAGTTAATTTTCCAAGTAAAAATGCTATTATTAATATATATATTTTGCAGGCTAATAAACTAGATAATCAAAAGGCACTGTAGCTATAGGAAATTGCTCCATTGACTTCTGTAACTGCAAGTGTGAAATCACAGTTGCGATTTCTCAGTTGGTTACTCAGTTCTTATGCTTTATAATGCTATGTATTTTCCTTACCTCATACATCAAAAGTCAGTGATCTTAACATCTGTTCCAGTTCTTATATTGTATGGTGGTTCTTACATAGAGGATTTGGCTTTCTTCTTAAGAGGATTCTTTAAAATTCTTAGACTATAACTTTGCATAATGAGCTTAATAACTATTTGCTTGTTTGTTTTATTATGGATGACTGCAGTATCTTGTTAATTACTTTACTTTTAAGAGAGGAGGTGTTGGTCTGTATTCCAGGCTGGAATGCAGTGGCGCAATAATGGCTCACCGAAGTCCCAAACTCCTGGACTCAAGTGATCCTCCAGCCTCAGATGTTCGAGTACCTGGGATTACAGGCATGAGCCACTGTGCCCAGCTTAATTAGTTTTTATTATGATTTACACATGATGATTTTTCAGCATGTGTTGTGCAATATAACTGAAATGCACCACTTGTTAATGTCACAAAATTCCTGTTCTATGTGGGTGTAGATAATTTTATGACAGATATTTAGAAAAATATTGCATTTGTTAATATTGTTTTATTAATCTTTTCTTATTTTCTCATTGCTATTATGTTATAATTCAGAATTACCCCTTATTTAGATTATCCTAGTTTGTCGTGGATTATTTACTAATACAGTATATCATATGGTCTTTTAGCATTTATTTGTGCACAGTAAATATCCTGTAAGTATGTGTAATATATTTTTCTCTTCCTTTATGAGACAGCGGCATGTTTGTGAAAATTGTGTACTTTAGAGTCATAGTCGGAAAAATATTATTCATTTCAGACTTACGTATATTTGTGCAATGTGAATGTTTGGTCATGATGTTAGAAAGTAGTGTTCCCTGTAATTAATTTGAATTACATGTAATGACTCCTTTCTTTCTTAAAGAATTCTGTTCCTTTCGTGTTCTTAAATGTTGATGATCATGGCTAGGAAGTTTAACATAGGTATTACTTTTGTGTAATATTACACATTTCAATATTAAATATTTATGTACTATCTGTAGTTAATAGGAGACCTATGGATCTTTATATCTTGTAGATATCTCTCCTAAATGTGTGATCAAGGAATTATCCCCAACAGGGGAAAGTGCCACAGGGGAAGTATTTCACACGGTGATGTTGGAAAGACATGAAAGCCATCCCATTGCAGATTTTTGCTTCAGGGAAATTCAGAAAAATGTCCGTGATTTTGAGTTTCAGTGGAGAGATAATGAACAAAATTACAACATGGTGCCTTTGACAGGAAAAGAAAATGTTAGTGGTAGTAAAGACCACTGTGATACAAGGGATGCTGGAAACAAGCCTATTAAAAATCAGCTTGAATTGAACTTTCAGTCACATCCACCTGCACTGCACATATTTCAAGCTAATGGGAAAGTTTGTCATCAAATTGAGAAGTCTGTCAACAGTGGTTCCACAGGTTCAACACCCCGAAGAATTTCTTCTAAGCTCAATTTCCGTATTTCTAATCAATATGGGAATGATTTCATCTATTCTTCATTACTCGCGGAAAAACAGAAAGGACACCTTAAAGAAAAATGTTACAAATGTAATGAGTGTGGCAAATCTTTCTTTTATGTCACACACCTTAGTATACATCAGACAGTCCATTCTGGGGAGAAACAGCATAAATGTCATGTGTGTGGCAAGGCCTTTAATCAGAAATCCAACTTGGCAAGTCACTGTAGAATTCACACTGGAGAGAAACCGTATAAATGTATGGAATGTGACAGAGTTTTCAGTCGTAATTCACACCTTCAGCGACACTGGAGAATTCATACTGGAGAGAAACCTTACAAATGTCACGAATGTGGCAAAGTCTTCAGTCAAGAAACAAACCTTGCAAGTCATCAGAGAATTCACAGTGGAGAGAAACCATACAAGTGTAATGAATGTGGCAAAGTCTTCAGTCAACCCACACTGCTTGCAAATCATCAGGGAATTCATACTGGAGAGAAACCATGTAAGTGTAATGAATGTGGCAAAGTGTTCAGTAGAACTTCCACCCTTGCAGTTCATCAGAGAATTCATACCGGAGAGAAACCTTACAAATGCAATAAATGTGTCAAGGTCTTCCGTCACAGCTCACACCTTACCAATCATGGCAGAATTCATACTGGAGAGAAACCTTACAAATGCAATTACTGTGGCAAGGTCTTCACTCAAACTTCACACCTCGCATTACATCACAGAATTCATACCAGAGAAAAACCATACAAGTGTAATGAGTGTGGCAAAGCCTTTAGCCTGCATTCACACCTCACTAGACATCAGAAAATCCATATTAGAGAGCGACCTTACTAATGTAATGAGTGTGGCAAAGTCTTCAGTCACAGTTCACTCCTTGTGCAACATCAGGGAATTCATTTTTGAGACACTTCTTACAAATCCAGTAAGTACAGCAAACTCTTCAATGTGAGTTCAAGCATTGACATTAGAGCGTTTGCACTAAAGAGGAATTATATAAATGATATTTGTCATGAATATTTATCCTGGTTTTGTAACTCATTAAACACCAAAATAAACATCTTTGGTGAAACCACACAATTGTAAAGTGCCTTCTGAGGCTATTATCCCTGTATCAAAACTGTAGAACATCAGAGGATTTATATGAGGAATAATTCCATCTCTATCTACAAAAATACCTTTTGAGATTACACACTGCAGAACAATTATAAGTCAAAATATGTTAAAACCTATGATACAATATATCAAAGTTAGCAGGACTTTTGGAAATAGCCAGTGTTCTTTAGGTTATACATTAATTATTTGAGGTTTATTCAAAAGAGTACGTTCCTATTTATGACAGTTCTAACATGAACTTTGAAATCTGTTACTGTTACGCATCCTTACACGCCTTTCATGGTCGTCTCTGGACAAGAATCAGTAAAGTGAAAGAACCTCCCTCATTAGGTGAGGATCATTTCCATACAATTTTTTTGAAGAAGAATTACTCTGCCCTTTCAAATTAACTATTGTCTGCATCAGCATGTGGGAAGTGCTGAGAATAATGTAAAACCGTGCTGTCACTCATCATGCTCATTGCGTTCAGGGTGCCTTTCTCCTGACAGGAGGGCACTTTGGGTTAAGTGAACGAAATGCTTTATCAACTGGCCATGAAATAGAACAAGCCAAGGCCTTAGGATGCAGGGTCTTTATGAGAGGCGATTAATAGGTTATTAGAGATGGATTATGTGGTAGAAATAATGCGGAGGAAATGGTGGCTACATTTTCCGTTGAATGATAATTGCTACTTCGCCAAAAATTAAGGGAAAAAAAATTCTGGGGAAAGCAGAGTAGGCTTCCCAAGCTAGCCCAAAAATGGATTGAGAGAACCACAAGAGGTGACTGGCTCAGGTTGCTATGGTTGTTCCAAGGTGCAGTTAGTTTGGTGGTACCCACATGTGCTTTGAACTTCCAGCTGGTGCCATAGGAGGGAGCACTGAGCCATTATTATCAGCTTGTCCAGATGGATGTAACAGGAACAGGGCGTGTAGAAGTGTAAAGGGTGTTAGTAGTCAAACATGAGAAATGTAGTCTGAATCTTTACTGCACCACAGAATGTTAATTCTTGGAAACTCCTGCCTTTTGGGTTTTAAAGGACCCCAGTTTTCTTTATGGGATTAACTACATTCATTTTCCTGGTGCACACATAGGTCACATTAGACCGTATGATTGTTGCAAATGTTTCTGAAATAATATTTAGTTGGCTAAGATATTTTTATGCTACTTCAGTGAAAATTAATGTGTGGAAAGGTCTATTGTAAAATACGATTGAGCAACTTTTCTAGAAGGGTATTTTCTCAAAGGCAATGGAAATAATCATTTTCAGTTTATTGTATTGAAAAATATATCCTATGGTTCATGTTCAACTATGGTAAAATGACCTTTTGTTTTTGTATATAATTTTTACTTAGTTTCTTATTCCTTCCATTTATTCTAATCCAGCTTATTTGTCTAATACCTGTCTTTGCTGTGTACATTGCTTCTCAACAGAAGCATTGGCATTCACCATCCAAGTCTTATCGATGGCACAGTTCCAAGAGCTCATGTTCCCCCATACAGTGTTGTTCTTGAAGCCCCTGCACAAAAGACTAGCACTAGTCTAGTCCTTGTTTTTGTCATCATGATGGGTCAGCCATGTAATTAAAGGAGTGTGTTGTGTCAAAGAAGCAGCCCACTAAGGTTTTGTTAGTTGTGGTTGTAACATTTTGCCACAGAATCAGCAAAGTTAAAACAGGTACCTCCAGCTCCCTCCCATAGGGTGGGCACCAAATGTATACTCTGTAAGCCAGATTTTGGGTTCTATGGTTCTGCTCACCTCGAGTCAGGGTTAAAAGAACACCCAGGTAGGGGGTGCATGCTGTCTTCTGTTCCCATAGAGGTCTACTAGCTGCTGGGTCTCCTTTTTCATTAGTGGGTGTCATCAGGACCAACTATTTTTGCTTGACTGCATCTGGGACATTTCTTTGGCTTCCTACCCACGTGTTCCTGCTATTCAGCTTGGAACCATTCACTGTTATTCCCCACGTCCCAGAGGTCTTTATCAGCACCCAGTCTGAGCTAATACATTGTGACAGGGTGGGTTATAGCATTTTTATCTGTAGCAAGCTCCGAATTAAGAAAGTATTGTCATTTTTTCGCACCTATCATGCAATACTTCTTTGTTAGACAACGCACTGGGGCTTGGCCAGCTTAGGTGGCAGGCTAGTAGACATGCCTCACAGTTACGGCTCAAATTGTCAGCTGTGAGTACAACCCTTCAGGTTGCAGTGATGCTCTATGCCACAGGCAGCCAAAATATCAGTGCCTGTGATGCTCTAAGTGATAGGGACCATGGTTACTGGCATTAAACATGGCCCAAAGGCCCCACCCACAATCACATAAGCACCGTAAACACGTAAGCACTATGGGACACCAAATTTATCCCCAAACATCCTAATGTCATCACTTTTTTTCCCCCTTTTCCTCTTTTATCTTGAGAGGAGCATAGGGCCACTAGCCTCTAATGGAAACACACAGACCTTGGACCTATTCCTGACCACCTGACTCAGTCTGATACATTGGGTCTGCAATGTGCCTTTCTTAAACAAACCCAGCAGCTGGGCAGCATAAGACTTCCCTGGCTTATCTTCCTATCTTTGCTCTAGATCGTGAGTCTCCCTCTCTGTGGAGGCCTGCATTGATCATGTTGGTTTCCTCTCAGATGCCTCAGGGACCATCTGAATATCTCTTTTCACTTCCCTCTCAGGTGCCTCTTGGTCTGTCTGGGTACCCACTTCCTGAGCTCCCTGCCCTGGAATGAGTGAGCACATGAGCACCGACAGTCAGGTGATTGTGTGCCTCACTCGCGTCTCCACATTCATTTCTCTCTGCCTCAATCCATGTAGCCAGCTCATTCACCTCCACAGGTGTGTGCATGTGACTCGTATCCCTGTACCTTCCAGGCCAGCCTTACTGCCATCAGACAGTTAACGGGGGTGTTACCCCTTCGACTTTGCCAGGGAGCAGTGGTTCTGTCAGACCTGACCCTGCTCATTATGCTATTTTGTGAAGCAGTTTCACTGAGCGCTGGGATTGGCTTGTCTGATGCGGGTGAGCCAGAGCACTCACACGAGTTACATGGAGCAGGTTTATTACTTACACATACAGGCAGCAAGGGACAACAGAAGACTAGCATTCATTGGGAACCAGTCCTCAAGGTTCACAAAAGCCACTTGGGGCAGATGGGGTCTCATCTTCACGTTCTCCACTTGCCCGGTGGTGGAGGGATCCTGCAGTGCCGTCTGCTCTGAGTTTTATACACAGCTACCGCTGAGACAAGGCATTGAAGGATATACCCTGTTTCAAAAAGGGACCGGAACAGGGTCCCAGCCGTTCTAGCAGTCCCTTCCTCTCTTTTCTTAGGGTGTTGCATTCCCAGACCCCTTATACATTTATTCTCGAAGATTACAAGGAGGAAAGTGAGAAGAACTCAGTCAGTCCAAGGTCTTTCTCCACTGTGTAATCTTGAGACCCTGGTCGAAAATCAGTTGACTGTATATATGGGTTTATGTATGGACTGTTTCTTCTGTTCCATCCATCTACCTGTCTGTCTTTATGCCAGGACCATAATGTTTTCATTACTAGAATTCTGTAACATTTTAAAATGAGAAAGTGTGATGCCCTCAGATTTGTACTTCTTTCTAAAATTATTTGGGCTATTAAGAGTCTTTTGTTGGTTCCATGTGGATATTAGGGTGTTTTTTTGTTTCTTTTAAAAAAGTTACAGGAGTTTTTAAGGAGATTGCATCGAATTTATAAATCCCATTAAGTATTATGGAAATTAAACAATATTAATTTTTCTAATCAATAAATGTAGGATGTATTTCTATTTATATATGTGTACTTAATTTCTTCCATTAATGTTGCATAGTTTTCAGTGTGCAAATTTGTCACCTCATTCATTAAATTTCTTCCTAAGTATTTTATTTTTTTAGGTGCTGTGGAAAATGGAAGTGTTGTCTTAAATTCCTTTTAAAATGGTTTTTTTTAATACAGGGAAATGCAGCTAATTTTTGGTGCTGATTTTGTATTCCGCAAATTTACTCATTTTGTTAGGTCTAACAGTATTTTGGCTGCATTTTTTTTTTCTTTTTAGGGTTTTCTACATATAAGGTCATAGCATCTACAAACATATAATTTTATTTTCCGATTTGGATGCATTTTATGTCTTATCTAATTGCTCTGTCTAGAACTTCCAGGATTTATATAGCAGAAGTGGTAAAAGTCAGCATTCTGGCAGCATATATATCGTTAAAAGAGTGCATCACATTGATTAGTTTAAGTATATTGAAAAATCCTTGCATCTCAGGGATAAATAGTAATAGAATATGTATAATCCTTTTAATGTGCTCCCCTTGAATTTGGTTTGCTGGTATGAAGGGTCTACAAAAAATTCATGGAAAAGGCATATTATGAAAAAATTATGCACAAATTTCAAAATTATTTTGCACCAAAATCAACTTGTATTGACTTTTTATAACGTGTTTGAATGGAATCTGGTTTGAGGCACTAAGAAAGATTAGACATCCGTTCGAAAAGAGGCCCTATAAAAGCAACATGAATTCTGCTAAAATTGAAGAAAGAACAAACATCAAATTATGGTGACTCGTGGGTGAAAGAATGGTAAAATAATTTATGTTTTGTGAAAAGTTTATGAGGACAGTGCCCCGAAGAAATCAGTAGTTTACAAATGGGTAACTCGCTTTGAGAAGGGATGAGATGATGTTGTACAGGAAGCCCACACAGTGGCAGACCATCCA